AAAAACCCAGCACGGGGTCATGGCTCAGCTGTGGGAATGCCGGGAACAAAATGCTGCTGGAGCAACTCGGATCTTGTTGGGATTTCCCGTCATCCCTGTTCAGCTGGCACTTGCTGCAGAAATCAAGCTGAATAGTTTTCAATTTCTCCTTTTTCCCCCAATTTTTTTCATCTTTTGGGGGTTTTTTTCCTGCTGTAGGATTGCACTGTTAAATCAGCGTTAATAAATACACTAATAATAACGATGACGGTAATAAAAACAATAATAAATAAATTAAAAATGCCTCATAAATTGCTTCATCCTCAGTAGCACAGCATTCCTCAAGGCAGTCAGGAAGGGGCTGCTCTGGCCAGCTGAAGGAAGGCTCATTTCTTGCCCAGCAGCTCAGCTCTCCTCTCTCACTGCCTCCAACCAAAAGCAGGGGCCGGTGCTCCCCCGCTCGCTCGGCCGTGTTTGAAGTTGGGATATCACATTGCTCACAGGAGAGGCAATCAATGCTGGTAAGCTAATGAATTATTTCCAAGTTTGTACCAATATCTGCAGCAACATGAAAGAAAAATCGCCTGGCAGGGAGATTACAGCGGGAGAGGCAGAGCATGGGGCAGGGGCTGTCAATATTTCGGGGCTATGAGTCGATCCTGCAGATAACTGCTGCTGCTACATTGCTTAGGAAAACACTGCCAGCAAAACATTTCATCTCACAATATACTTGTCCAACATAATTATCTGGGCTTGACCAATCCAGCTGGGAGAGAATGGCAACAAACACCCGACCCCACGTGCTGTGCCTTCAAGAATGTGTGAGTTAACTCTTCACCTGAGTGTGGGTTTGACAGAGGCAACTGCTGCTGGAAAAGCTGGCTCACAACACGTACATGGAGTGCACACATACATGTGTACACACACAGACAGCAAATATGGGTGGTTGTTTTCCTCAAAGAGTATTTTTTTATCATTACCACCTTGTTTAGGATGAGACTGTACAATATCGTGAGTTGGATATCCTGAGATGTCTGTCAAGAACAAGCTGAAAGCTTCCTCACACATCTCCCTCTCCCCCCTGACCCAACAAGTCCCTTTTTAGGTTTCATTCCCTTTTTCTCAATGTAGAGTTTTGTTTTTCCCCAGCCAGCACCAATCCCCCACCACTTTGGGATGATGACAAAGCTCTGCTCTAAAGTAGTTTCCAGTGAATCAGAAATATGCCCAACTCAAACCCAGACCTGTTTTATACTCCACAATTCTAATGAGCCCCTGGAGGATGGCTGGAGGGGTGGGGATGGATGGCTGCCTGCTCCACACCCTGTGGCTGTGGGGAATACAGCTCCCAGAGATTTTAGGGTCACTGCAGTAAATCTGGAGCCAGTCCAGTGCTGCTTCTCTGCACTGGCAGTGATTAACCTGACACTCGTGCCCAGCCCAGGCTCCCAATTCATTTTTTCACCCAGTTCATTCAAATTCTTCTCTCTGGTCTCCCAGTCCCCAGTGGCCATGCTGGGAAAGCCCCAGGGCACTGGGCTGGCACCATCTGCCCTCCCTGGCTGTTATCCAGCATTGCCCTGACCTCTTGCTGCAAGTATTTATGTCTCATTTTCACATTTCCTCCTTGTGCTTTTTTGGTAAATATTAAGGAGAAGTAAAAAAAAAAGAGAAAGTTCTGACCTAAAACAAAAGCAGGGAGGAAAGAAAACTCATTTTAAAGCGTGAAGAGGAAGTTTAAAAGAAGAGCCCATTCATCCTGCAGCCTCTTCTGCATTCAGTCCTGCAAGAAATATGTCCCAGCTAAACAATATTTGTGTTCTCTAGATAACAATATATCCATACATGACATGACTCTCATCTTAGAGAAATAGAAATTTTCTGTCTGCATGGAACTTTTATGCATAAGACCGTGGGAAATAATGTCTGGACAATATAACAATTCAGTATTTTTCTTTCAAACTTCCTTTGTGGGTTGTTCTGGTCCAGATATGAATCAGGAGAGCATTCTAATGGGTCATAAGCTAGAATTTAAGGGTGTTTTATTATTGGCTTAATAACTCCTTATTAGCTAAACAGTGCTGACAAGATAAAGGCATTTTGATGGAACGCATGTTTCCCCTCTCTCTGACATATTTGTCTCACAAATTGACCTGTCCACACTGATGATGATACAGATCCAGAAGATTACACTGATTTTTTTTCCCCTTCAGCTGGGCTTTTCACGTCTGCCAACCTGCCACTTGCCCATTAGGGAAGACAACAGGAATGCCAGCAATGACATGGCTAATTCCAGTGACCTCCAGCCAGACACAGCTCCAGAAGTTCCATCCAAAAACCACTCATCTGACACTCCTAAAGCACGACTCAGCCTGGTGTTGTGCCTGCCAACTCACCAGACTCTCTCTGTGCTGATTAATTAGATGCATGTTCTGCTTTAGCTCTTGTGACAACCAAGTCTTTCATTTCTTACTCATTCACTGAATCTTTGTGACAGAGAAAACACAACAGACAAATATATTTGCTGCTGGCATGTGAAAACCTCCAGATCATCATATTAAAAATTATTTTTTAATTAGAGTCCTTAGCTAATAAAAATCTATTAGTGAGAAATCAGAAGGCACCTACAAGTGGTTCTCACCAGTGCTGCCAGGAGAGTGTTTCATGTGTCTCATACATTACTCATGTATGATTAAGGCAATTTGAAGAGTGACACTTTAATCCTGTGTTAATAGATATTTCTAGTCATCCTCATAGAGGCAAGAAAACTCCCAACAGTTCTATTCTTGGGATTAAGGAACAAAAGAACTCTCAGAAAATCAGAAGAAAGATGATAGCTTTAGTAGGAAGGCCACTATTTCTGTCCATAATCCAAAACTGTGCTTTAAAATGTGCATGAAAATGATCAGCATGATTAGAAATGATGATTAAAATAGCACCTATTAGATGTAGTGCTTGCAAGGGTGAAACCAGATTTCAGAAAAGGTAAAACACTGGATTTTCTCTCATCATGCACTTTTCATTCATTTACAGGCAATCAACACGATGGGGACCAAAAATGCCCTCTGGGTCTTACAGAGAGGATGGGTCAAGGGAAGGCAAGAGACACCCATGGAGTGAGAGAAAGAGCCTGTTTTGTGGCTCTGTGAGGTACAGCAAGGCCATGAGACCCTCTGGAATGAAATGCAGCTTCTAAAGCAGCACAAGAATGACAAATTGGGCAGCTCTTCGCATCACCAAGGTCATCCTCGAACCCTTCCAACGCTGCGACACTCCACCGGCGCGCGGGGCACCGAGACAGATGCGACGGAGTTTTTGAGAGGATAAATTAGATTGAGACTTTCTGAAGCCACTGAATTCTGGTAATTGTGTTACTCAGCTTGCTGAGCAGCCACCCCCAGAGCCTGCTGCCAGCCCGCCACGACGCCTGGCTTGGGTGAACTTCAAGCGACAAAAGGATCGCTCTAAAGGGCAAAAAAAACAGGAGAAATGTGCAGTATGCTGCACCTTTCAACTGCTGCAAGCCAGAGCCTGGCTCAGAACAAAGCAGGGATTTAATAAACAAAATTTTCGTAAATCAAAGTGTGTGTTTAAAATGTTTGAAGTGCTTTGGAGATTTTTTTTTCCTGCATCGTTTAATAACATAAAGGGGAAAAAACACACTTTGACCAGGGAGTAAGTTTGCTTCCAGAGTCGCCACAATTTGGAAAGCTGCAAGCAATGAAATTTGGGTTTAAATTAAAAGCTGATGAGGCATTATCTGCTCTTGATAAAAGCCAAGATTCTGGGAAAACTGAAAATGGAGAAGGCAGTCTGCTTTTCAGCTTCAGATGGTGAACAATTCTCTTCAGATACAAAATCCCTTTGACAGACAGTCATTGTTACACCTTGGGTTTTGTTACAATAGTTTTGCAGTTTATCAATACTATCTCTATTCACTGGTTCGTATTTTGTACTTGTCTTATTTTCACTGCCTACTTAAAATTCACTGAACCAAAACCTCATAGAAATACCTCCTGGAATTTAGGTTTGAGTTGCTGTGACTTTGAGAACCCATTGATCCAAATATGCTCCCAAATAAGTGCATGTCAAGCCTTTATAGCTTGGGTTAATTCACTTTATGGCCTCTTAATATATGAGATTTTATGTTTACTGTATGCCTGCTGGTTTGAGTGTGCTGTGTGGAACTAAAAGCACATGTGATTCAAACAGATCCAAGGTGACATTACTCTCCTTAGAAAGGAATCCAGATTAAGACATAACCAGCTTGTTATTGGCCCTTTCCCTGCACTCAACAGGTTCAATGCTTGAATGCTGCTTTCATTTTAACCACAATGTGTTAACCACTGTAGCTCCCCATCCTGATTATTGAATAAAGCTGCACATTTTCTGCCTTTCTTTTTTAGTATCCCAAAGGAACCGGCACCAATAAAACTTTGAAGGAGACAATGTGGGGCCTTTTCCAGGGAAGGACTTCAACAAATGCTTAACTTAAAGCACGAACATAAAGTTATGAAGAGAAATGGGCTAACGCAGGTACTTATTTTATCACATTTTTAAGTAGCTCTGTGACCCACAGATCCTGGCAAAGAGTGCTGAGATATGAACCGAGATTGCCCAGTGTAACATACTTACTAACACAGAAACAACATGCAGAAAACATCATTCCCAGGAGGAATATTCCCTAAAACACCTTCCCCACAGCAAACCGACTCGTATCACCACAGCAACCTGGTTTCCTCAGGGTTACTCAAACCACACACTCAGCTCTACAGAGCTGGCCAGTCCACCAAAACCTCTCCACTGCCTTCAACAAGAACCACACCAAAACACAGGAGAGAACAACGAACCCGCCGCACTCGCGCCAGCCTCCTGCTCCGCGCTCGTCCTTCGGAGCACAGGCAAGGAAAACAAGCCTCCCAGAGTATTCTCATGGCATTTAAGACAAAAAGCCACCAGGCAGCAGTGCCCTCCCAGGTATTCCCACGCTTCCAAGCCCCGGGAGAGGCGGAGGCACTCACGGAAGGCCGTGTAGAGCTCCTGCAGGGTCAGGCGCCCGTCGCTGTTGTAGTCGTCAAAGCGCAGAAGGTCCTCCAGGGTACAGCCCAACAAATCACCTGCCAGGTCCTCCTTCTTCATCAGCTGTGGCAAAGACAACAGGGAATCTCACATGTCATGGATTGCTGGCCTGGCTCACCCAGCAGATTTTCCATTAAATAACCTCTGGGGAAATATATCTCTATCTCTGTCTATCTATCTACAGATATATCACATCCATCATTATATATTTGCTTTGTATCAAGATACAACTGATGTTCATATTCCTGCAGCACTTCATGAAGCGTGGACTGGTGAGGGTGAGACTCTTCCTTTAGCAGCAGCAGCAGCAACACAGAAATGCATTTTCACTTCACAAATGTACTGAAAAATAAATATTCAGCAGGGAAGAAGGAAGGTCTGCTTTTCCTTTCTCCTCTGTGAGGAAGGACAAAATTGTATTCCCTGCTTTTGGGACTAGGATGGGGAAGAGTGGATGGTGTACTCAACATTAATGTGCTTTTCCAGCCCCCAACAGCTTGTTTCTTTTGTATCCTCAACCTTTCATTTGGGTCCCCTGAATTTATTGTAGAACATGAAGGAAACTGCTGAAATGATGCATCTTCCAGCCAGGAAGGCTTTTTGCTGTAGCCCAGGGACTCTTTTATTTACTATTCTAGTCTTGGCCCATTATATTGAAGCAATTTAAAGTAATAATGCTAAAAAAATGACCCTTCACCTAGCAAGTAAAAATATTCAATACAAGTGAGATCAACCATAACTTCCAAGATCAATGTTGTAAGGATGGAAATTTTCCTTTGTCTGTGTTTGTATTGAAAATTGATTAACTTTTCATAGGATTGACAAGTTTTTACTTGTCCTTTTGATTTCATGTCAGGAAAGAAAAAAAAAAACAAGTGCAAAACACTTCAGCTGCAACACATTTAGCAGACTTATGAATCTAACTTTAAAATACATTAAAGATTTAAATAAAAATAACAACCCAGTTACCCCCATTGTTAATAGCCCTGTATATCCATGGTTGCAAAACTACAGGGGAATTTCACTGCTAGGTCCAGAGGGATACTATTGGATAGGGTCTGCCAGCAGCCAGGCAAAACAGCTCTAAATAGAGGGGGATGGACCATCTGCTGCCACTTTTTTTGCTCAAAGCAATTCTGTTGTGGAGAACAAAGCAGTGGGTGCTGCAGTGCTGCAGGACCATCATCCCTGGAGAGACTCTGCTTCCAGTTCCTCCTCTGGGGTGAATCCCTCTGCAAGGAGCCTCCTAAAGATCCACCTTCAGGTCTTAAAAATTCCTTTTTTCTGCAGCAGTGCACGTTACCTGCCTCGATTTTTTTTCCTTGCAGACAAGGTTACAGTGCTCAAGAGACTATTTTTCTTTTACATAAAACACAGCAAATGCACAGCACCAGCTCATCCAGCAGGCAGAGAGAACAAGATCCCACTGCACCACGTTCAGATCCCACTGCACCACGTTCAGCTCAGCTTGCTCTGCCCATAGGCAATGAAATTCTCGTCTCTGGGGGAATTGTAAAGTTGCAAAGAGCTTCAAATTAAGGAGCTAATGCAAATCAATCACAAATCTACCTAACGAGGCAAGAAAAGCCCTGCTTAGACTGTAACCTGCATAACTGAAAATTGCTCATTACCTAAAAAAAAAGTGCCTTGAAACCTGGCTGGATAAACTGGTCCTATAAGAGCACATGAAAATCACCTTGTTGAAGAGGAAAATGAAGAACTGACATGTTACACATAAACTGTGAATAGTGGGGAGAGCCCAGAGCTGCCCCACAGACTGTCCCCAGCCTGGCCAGGACTCAGCCACACTCCCACCAAGGGGCCCAAGGCTGGTGCCACTCAGCTCAGGATTAAAACCATTCCTGGCTTATCTAAATTCTGCATTAATGGGCATTATTTCATCTCTTGAGGGGTGATCCCTCTGCCAGCCCAGCCATGCTGGTGGCCAGCCCGTGTGGAGGACGTGAGGTGAGAGGGCTCCTGGCTGGGGCTGAACTTCATTCTGCTCCATCCAACTGAAGTGGGCTCCAGATGTTCAGGCACATTGATGGATTTTGATAACAATGAGAAAAGAACTGAAATCACAGCAGCCAAGGTCTGTGCTTGCTCTTGAGAGAGACGTGGGCTCCGAGCACATCTGCAAACAAAGCACTTCGAGGCAGACCTTCCAACACTGAATCCTTTGCAGTGCAGGTCATTGATTCTTCCCAATGCAATGCCTTGCAGGCTCCAAGCCTTTATTTCCATGCAAGTTGAGTTTTAATATACCAACAAAATAAGTTTTGTGTAAAAAGGGGCAAAAAAATTGGAGAGCAGAACAGACACTTAGAGGCTACTATTCAAAAGCTGGCTTTGAATTCAGATGAAAGTGTTTTATTATACCTACCATGTCTTTATGAAAAAATCATGGCCTTATTGTATATATTCACAGCCCTGAGATCTAAGGGAATTTACAGTGACACTCTGAATTGTGTGGAAGGGATTGAGCATCATGTCAACAGCCTGAGGATTAAAATGTAAACTGTCCCAGAGAGGAGGGAGCTCAGGGAGGAGCAGGCTCATGCCTGCATTGTGCTTGGTGTGCCCTGGGAAGGGAGAGCAGGGATGAGACACTCCTGAAGAGCAAGGGCTGAACTCACTCTGAGCACCCTGGGCTGGTGGGAGGTGTTGGAACAACATGAGCTTTAAGGTCCCTTCCAGCCCAAACCATTCTGACTCTATGAAGGGCCAGCTTTGGAAACTGGAACGGGTCCCAGGCAGGGACTGGCTTCCAAAAGGCTCTTAAAAGGCATTTGCTTCTAATTCCTCTAATGGATGACATAATAAATGGAAAAGACATTTTACAGGACTGTTTTCCCAGGTCTGCACGTGCGAAGAGCAAGCTGAGGACACAGAGCACCTGGATGGAGTGCCTGGGCTGCCTGTTTGGTTCACTTGACCAATGAGATGAATTCCAGCAGCACAGCCTGCCCGTAATTAGAAATAACAGTTTTTTTCAAGCTCTCATCTTTTCTATCGAGTTCTGCTAATCAACATTTCAGCATCTGCCCAGGGATTCTGGGACAATAACCATGTTGAAAACCGTTCCAACTTTGCTGTCACATTACTACCTGCTAATGCACAGTCCAGAAGGGAGGTAGAAAGAACTAAGAGATTTCTGCCTTACTTACATGCACCTAAAAAATCCAAATTAATTCTCCTCCAGCCGGCTACTGGAAATACTTCAGAAGATGACAGGTAGCAGCAAGGATTAGTATCTGTTTTCAGGAGCATGGATGGGGCTGGAAGACTGCCATGTTTTGTGTTTGAAGAGGAGCTTCAAATGTTTGAGACAACACTGACTCCCAGGAGATGCAGAGAGAGACTCACTGGCTGGGTTGGATTTTCCTGCTCTACCTGCTGGACAGGGACAAACGACCCTGACAAATGCTGCATTGCATTCCACTCACACTCCATAATTCCACTTCCACTGAACAACAAACCCACCTGAGCCAGCTCGGAGCTGCTGAGATGCCCATCACTGTTTAGATCCAAGTGCTTGAACAGGTCTTCGATCAAGAAGCGCTTCTGGGCCACTCTGTCCTTGGCCAGGCTGCTGGGGGGGCTCTGCCGACGGGCCTGCAGGTCCAGCAGGATGCTCTTGAGCCTGCTGTAGTCTGCCATGGTACAGGGGTCCCCTGCAAGACAACACAGCACCACTGACCACGTGCATTGACCTTGAGCTTTGCAAAGGACTGAGCTCCTGAAGGGCAAAATCAGGCACTTATGTCTGCATGCACAGCCCCACTCAGCCCTGCACTTGAGGAGCTCCTGGAGTCGTTAACACTGAGTAATAACTGGCAGTTTCTCTAAATCCTGCTGTCAGGGTTGCTCTCCAGCATGTTACCTTCCAGATTACAGGGCTTCAGTTACAGACTTCCACGCTCAGCTCTGTAATCCCCACACACATTAAATTGGCTCTGCATTTTCCTGAATGAATAAATTCCTCTGTCCTGTGACTGGGAGGTAAAAAATGAACATAGGGAAGCTGATGTTCAGAAAGTTCCACAAACATAAATGGTACCTCTGAGTGTCACCCTGTGCCAAACATGGGGCTGATCTTAAGGAATCCTCACAGGCAGCCCAGGGGAGGACAGTGAGCAGTGCAGGGCTGTGGCATCACTGGTGGCTGTGCTCATCACCCTGCTGCAGGCTGATAGAAATGCTTCCCTCAGCCCCGACCAGGGAAACAGGTTATTATCAGGGAAAAGCCCCCAAGCCACTGTCCCTGAAGTGACACCAGCTCGGCTGGAGCAACCAGCCTGAGCCTTTGTGACCCTGACAGCTCCCTCTGTGCCATCCAGCCCTTCTCCAGGGAATGTGCTCTGATTTAACACACCCTCCCTGAGGAAACACATCCACGTGCCCCAAGTGGTACAGGGGTTCATGACCCCTTTCTGCTCATCTCCTGTGTGGCAGAGCTTGGCAGGAGGAGGAATGGCAGCTATCTCTCTGTGCAAATCTGTTTGCTTTAGTGCAGAGCACAGGGGCTGGTGCCTTGCAGCAGACCCTGGAGCACCCTCAGGCTCCAGCTGTCCCACACTCTGTGGGCATCAACCACCTCCCACCAACAGCACCAACACATCCAGCCTTTCCCCTCGGATGCCCTCACCTCCACAGTGTAATTTCTCTATAAAGTAAATAGCCTTATTCTGTGTAATGTCAGTTTTAAAACAAACTTTTATTTTAAATCCATCACCGATCCTGTTGCATTTAATCTAAGAGAACCTGGTCTCACCTCAGGGACAATACCCTTGTAGATCAGCTCCCCAAAGACTTCCAAACATTATTCCTCTGAAAAATAACAGAAAACTCTGGCACACTGACAACTAATGATCCTGTCCTTTTCTTGCTGAGCTGCAACATTTTGGACCTCTTGGTCCCACTCCAACCAAAACCCAATTAAAATTCCAGGTGGGAGGCATTTCTCTGATAGCAAACCCATCTCCTGTCAAGGTTTTTTTTTCACCCTTCATATTTTGTGCTCACGACTTCAAAAGCACCATGACTTGAGAAGGTGAGAGAGGACACAGAGGCTGGACATGTGCTCCCACTCAGGTCAGTGCCCTCCTGCTCCTCGAGCAAGAACTGCAAGACAAGACTTATTTCCCACCCTGAACTCAGACCCTTCTAGTTTGGAGTTTCTCACTGCTCAGAGATATTTAGCAGCAGATAAATTATTCCCTCCTTCTAAGCAACCTCCACAGAGCACTCGATCCCACATGGGATCAGTCTCATTTTACAGTAAAAATAAGGCTATTCAGTTACTATTAGTTGTGTTTATTATTCTTGCCTTCTTTTCCCCCCAGTCATGTCATTTGATGGTTTGTGAAGGCAGCATGAGAAAATTTCTTTCATTCAATCACCAGCTTATTTAAGAGACAAACTGATTGCTGTATCCAGTGTGATCAAGCACTCCTGCAATTCTGTTGTAAATACTGTTTTAGCTACTGCAATGATATTTTTCGCTGAGCTGGAGTTTTATTTTCAGTCAAATCTTAACCCCAGAGATGTATCTAAGGCTAATGAAGATAGGGAAATCTATTTAGTTTGCTTCCACTTCTGTTTCTGCTTTGTGGTTTCCATTAGTGAGCACCAGCCTTTGTTCCCATCCCACTGCTGGGGTAACTCAGCCTGTCCCTGGGAGGGACACCCCTACAGCTGATTTAGAGCCCTCAGAGGAAAATGCTGGTGGCCTTCAAACAACCCTCCCATAAGGTACAGCTCTAAGTGCTCTTTGGATCAAACTTCACTACACTTTCCATGCTCAACAGACAGGGATTTCTGACAATTTTTACTTAAATTTTAGAAATTAAATACATCCTCTAGCAGCAGCCTCCAGCGGCTCTCCATCCTCAAGCCCCAAAACCTGCAGCTTGTCTGATGTAGGAAGGAGCCAAAAGTGAGGAATCACACTGCAAGAACCCTGGCCAAAGGAATCCAGGATTTCCCTCTCCATGCTGGGGAAGATCTCCACAGAAACAAGGCCCTTTTTTGAAAGTTTGCAGCACTTGCAAAACCAACGAAGCCTGGCACTGTCCAAATTAAAAACAAACAAACAAAACCAACCAGACAGGCAAAGAAAAACAATCAGACAGAAGGAAAGTAAAAGAAAAATGCAGCATATGAAGGTCTGATTGCTAAAGTGTGGCCAATAAGTGTCACATTTCCATGCTCTGCTCACTTCCACCAATGCTGTTTCTTGCTCTGTTTTGCAGCAGAGATGTTATTCATCCTGTTTAGCACTTCTGCATGCTTTGGCAGATAAAATATTGATCAGCCTGCCAAGAAACACAGAATGCCATTCTGTTTTCATGTCAGAACTCAGTAATGAACTACATTTATCAAGAGCATCCTCCCTGTGAAAGGTCAGTGGTGAATGTGGCTAAATTGCAATGACAGATCATTAATCCAGCTCCCTCAATAATTGCCCTCTTTAAAAATTTTACTCCTGGTTTCTGGGAATTGCTGCAGGTTTTTACAGTGGGATCCCTGAGCAATCCTCAAGCCAGAAGCAGATAAGAGAGGAACAGCAAGGCTGAGGATGAAAGTGTCCTTCAAAGGAATGCAGGTTACAAAATAAAAATAAACTGAGCAAGTGCAGAGCTTGCTTTGATGGGAAAACTCATTTCCCAGTGAAATATTCCTGTACAAGGTGCCTTACAATGCAATGATTACTAGAAATGTCAGTACTTCTTTAAATATCAAAAATGATCTGATAACACCTACAAAGCACCAATCTCAGAGACCTTGGTTTGCACTGTCCTGACAGGAGCTGGGAGCCTGAACACACACACAGGCCTGTAGAGGATCTGAGCCCCACTGGTTCCTGAGCTGTTCTACCCCACAACTCTGTGGGCTGCACGAGGGGCACCTGCAGCTCTCCCCGAAATCCATGAGGGAAGCTGTGCAGCCACGAGCACCCAGGCTGGGGACAGGAGTGTGTGACTGTCCATCCACACAAGGGGATTCAAACTGCTTGGGACCCTTCAAAAGCTCTGGGGGAGGTTCCCCTGGGTGCCACAGGTACCCACTGCAGCCCACATGCCCTCCAGCCCTTCCAACTCAGCACACCCTGTGATCCTGGGAGAATCTGCAGCCCTGCTGCTGATCCCAACCCCGAGCCAGGCTCAGCTATCACTGCAGGTGACATGGGACACAACAACCAGGCATCCCATGCAGGGCTGCCACCCCCTTTGGCTCCCTGGATCCCTCCATCACCTGCCCAAAACCCACCCCCCCACGGCAGGACATGTCCCTGTCACCACAGGGGATGATAACAACAACCCAGCACAAATAACTCACCACCAAAGGGGAGCTCCAGTGGCACTAATTTTCAAGCAACCCCTGAGCACCACCAAATGTGGTAATAAAGAGCAGTTTGGAGCAGGTTGGAGAGTGTCATTTCTCAGGCAGGAGGCATTGGGGGTGTCATTTTATCTGACAGTTCCTCTCAGCCAGTGCTGGCTCTATTTTCAGCTGTTCCTAGGGCAGTTTTCAAGCTCCAGGAAGAAATTTAGAGCAGGAGATGAGAGAACACTAAACTTTGTTTTCTATCTGTATCCATAGGGCAATAAAGATGAGGTTAAGAAAATAACATTTCTAGACAAAATTAAAGAGATTGGAGAAAAGTTCTGTTTTCAAACAGCCCAGCCTTTTCTGTGCTTCATTCAGGGTTTATCTGGCATTGTGAGAAGCATCAGAAAATGACTAAACTAAAATGCTACTGGATACAAATTTATTTCTGAGTGTGGCTCCTTAATTCTTGTGCCATTTACAGCAAAACTGCTCATCAGCACCAGCCCATTTTCCTGCATCCAAAATGAAAGTGCTGGCATGCCTGAACAGAGGAAGAGTGGTCCCAAGGCATCAGCCTGCTGAACCTGAGTGAGACATTATGTGAACTCTTTACCCCACTGCTCTGCTGCCTTGTGGCCTCTCTGACTCCACAGAGCAGGTTTACATGGGGACAGGAAAATTAAAGATGACTTCAGTTCTTCAGGGGTCTCCTTGCAAATCCCCATTCCCCCATGCACGTTTTTTATCTGTCTCTATCTATCTCCCTCTTCCTTTAATCGCTTATTTCTGCAGAGGTTGGATGGACTTCCCTCCTAGTTTTCCTACGTGGTTGGAAAGGAGAGGAAAATACCTGCTTTTCTCACCAATCTGCATGAACAGCCTCCTCTGAGCAATTACAGCTGCAGAAAGGGAGAGGAGAACATGGAGAAACCTTTGTGGGATTCACACATTTCTTGCAATTTAAAGACATCTGCGAGCTTTGAACCTTCCCAGCTCTGACTTTTACAGGCTGGAAGTGCCACAGGTTGGATATCAGGAAAAAATTCTTCACTGGAAGAGCAGCTGAGCACTGGAACAGGCTGACAGGGAAGGGGTGGAGTCACCACCCCTGGAAGTGTCCAAAAAACAAGTGGATGTGGCACTTCACCAGATGGTGTTGTAGGCATGGGGGTGTTCAGTCAAAGGCTGGACTTGATGATCTTGGAGGTCTTTTCCAACCTTAATGATTCTGTGATGCTACACTAGGCCAGAGCAAACTCATTTAGGATGAGCAAAAACTAACCCAGATCTTAATCTGTAAAACTTCATTATATCAACCATTTAACTTCTGCTAATCCAG